GGAACAAATAGTGGTGCTTAGAACTAAAAACAGAGTATGAGTCAGCTCTACTCCTCTTGAGTGGATGCCCAAAGCATCTAAATCGATAGACCACAGAGATACGTGCACACCCAAGCTTATTCACGACAGCCAGGAAACAGAGTCAGCCTAGAGGTTCATTAACAAATGAGTGGATAAAGAAAATATGGTATATGTACACAGTGGGATTTTGTTCAGCCCTAATGAAAGTAGACTGAACTGAAGAAAATTGAGTTAGTGGAAAAAATGTGCTTAGTGAAATAAGCCAGACTCAGAAATCAAAGTATCCCTAGTTTCATTTCATTCATATAGTTGTTGCTATAATAAAATACCCCAAATAAAAGCAATTTAGAGCAGAAAGGGTTCATTTAGCTTATAATTCAAGGTTACTGTCTATTACTATAGGGAAGTCAAGGCAGGAACTTAAACATAACCTCCATGGAGGAACTTAACCTCCACGGAAAGAATAAGTGCACAGATCCTTTCTTGCTCTCAGCTCGTTTTTCTTCATTTATACTCTTCAGAAAACGGTGCCTACGAAAACCAACCTCAATTAATGATCAAAACAATTACCAAAAATCAATCTAAGCTAGATAAATCTTAGGTGATCCTAGATTGTGTCCAGTTAACAATGGAAATGAATTAGTGAAGTAAAGTGTCACATTTCATTTTATATGCAGAATACACCCACACATGCGCACACATGCACACAGATACAAATATGTATGGGACTCAAAGGTAGGTTTGATTGCAGAGAGGGGGGGTCTAAAAGGATAGCAAAGAAGGAAACAGGGTAGTGGAAGAAGATAAATACTGTATGTTATGCTCATACACAGAAGACAAATGAAAGGATATGAACAAAGTGCATATATATATATATTAGATATATCATCATTATGAAATTCATCATTATGCTTGCTACTTAAAAATATAATTGAGCTTCATGGTGGTGACACACACCTTTAGTACTCAGGAGGCAGAGGGAGACAAATCTCTGTGAGTTCAAGGCTAGTCTGGTCTACAGAGCTAGTTCCAGGACAGCTAGGGCTACATGGAGAAATGCTGTCTAAAAAACAAAATGTAATTGAAAAGGCAAAAATGCTAAGTGAAATAATTCATATACAAAAAGTCACATATTGCATGTGTCTATCTACACCATGTCCAGTATAGGCAAATGCCTTGTGATTGAAGAAGCTTAGTATGGTTACCTTTAGTTAATTGGTTTTAGAATATGTGGGGTGACTGTTAAAGAATATGCTTGCAAAAGGTGCTAAATATATTTCAAAATTTATGATGACAATTGCACAATTCTGCAAATATGGGAAAATCAATTCATTATATCCTTTACACTGGAATGAGAAGAATTGAAAGATCGTTGACATTTTATTATTTGTTTTTTGAAATCAGGTCTCATGTAGCCTGAGACAAAGGTCTTGATTTCTCTACATAGCCAAGGACGACCTTGAGCTCCTGATCATCTTGCTTTCAACTCCCAGATGTTGAGATCCAGGTGTTTGTTACTACTTGTGGCTTCAGTGAATGCATTAAATGAGTGAATACTATGATTTGTGCATTACTTCTCAATCTGGGGTACAAAAAATGAAATGATAATATTATATCACTTGAGTTAGGTGGTAGGTTCTTGGGTGCATGTTTCATTAAAATACTTAAAAACTGCATTTATGTTATTCTTTGTGGCTAAAATGTCTATCTTTTTTAAAACATTTTTAGAAACCTGACTGACCTGACTTCTGACTCTACCACTTACCAGTTATGAGTTCTTGGGCACATTGGCAGGCCTGAGCCTGCCAATGACTTATCTGTACGCAGAGGTGGTAATAATAGTAACTTCCTCATGGCCTCTTATAGCCGCATGCCTGGTACATTTTCAATGCTATTATTAGCTAACGTGCCCTTTAAGCAATTGAACCACTTGTGCTAAAATGTCTATGCTAATAGCCACTCTTTTTTAAAATACATTTTTCTCTTCAATTTACTTATGAGGATGATGATGGGGTGGGGGCAGGGGGGAGAGTGTTTGCATGAGTGAAAGTGGGTACAAGGTCAGAGGAGAACTTTTGGGAGTCAGTTTTCTCTTCCACTGTGGGATTGGGATTGATGGATTGAATTCAGATGGTTAGGTTAGGCCTGTGTGGCAAGCACTGTTGCCCTCTGAGCCAACTCTCCAGCCCAACAAAGTGTGGTCAATGCAATCTCATGTCTATGGTAACTTTTGTTTTTTTCGTTTGTTTGTTTTAGTTGTGAGTTTTGAGGAAGGGACTAAAAAATAAGTTAGAACTTTGTGATTTTATTCTTCTTTGTAGCTGAAAACTATTCCTTTGTGTATAAATGCCACATTTTGATTGCCCATTCATCCTCTGATGGCTTGGCACCTGGCTTGACTTCACATCTTGGCTCTTGTGACTGTTACTATGATAAGCCTGCATGTGCAGGTGTCTTTATTGCATACTGACCTTGATGCCTTTGAATACATACTCAAGGGGGGGAAGGCTGTTTTTTTTATTTAAAACTGTAGTTTTAAATTTAATTTTTAAAAGAACTTTCATACTTATTTCCATTGTCAAAATATCTGCTACTTCTGAGGGTTAATATCAACTATTTTCTAGCCTGGGTTTGGGACTTCAAGTCTAAGACACATCAAAAGTCTATTCTTTTCCATCTTGAGCTGTGTCCAGAACCCATGACTGTTCTGCATCCAGTCTGTGAAATACAGGCAAAATGAGTCTAATTCAATTGTATTGAGGTAAACTCTTAAAGGAAGTGTTACACAGCTCATAGTAAGTGTTAGGTTCCTTACCACTGCCTGCTGTTTACCCATTTGACCTCTTGAGACTTGTATCACACAGCACCCCAGAAACAGCAGGGTTTGGAGGAAACAGTAATTAAATAGCGAGTAGAAGAAGACATGAATGATCAGTGACACACAAAGCCTGGAGAAATCTGGGTAAAAGCATGTCATAAATGGGACTACTTCCACATCTCTCACCCTGCACAAAAATACATTCGACAATTGATCCAAGATCCCAACGTAAGACGAAGAACTTTGAAACTGCGAGGAGGAAACCCTGAAGGATAATACAGGCAAGCCCTTTCTGAGGACTCCGTATGCCGGAAATCAAGCGAGAATAGGCACATGCCACTCCGGAGATGTGATTCTTTTTTTTTTTTTAAAAAAAAAGCCTTCCTCACTGCAAAAGAAACAACTGAACAAAGAGACAGCCCACAGAATGGGAGAGAAATCTTCTCCAGGATGTCAAAGAAATGTTATCTCAAAACTCAGAAGTGCAGTTGCTGTGGGGTTGCCCGACTCGTGCTTTTGCCTTTTCCCTTCTGATACTGGCCAGATCCTGAGCCCACTTTCGCCGGTACTCAAGTTATTCTCACTCCCATGTTCCCTGCCTGCCATGTGTCTGCTTGTATGCCATATGGCTGGCCTCCATGCTGGCTTGGCTCAAATGGCGATCTCTCTCTCCTCTCTCCAACTCCCTCCTCTCTGCAGCTGGTAAGATTTACAGCTTGCTGGCCCTGATATTTTTTTTTAACTCTAAGAAAAAAAATTCTTCAAAAAATAGTCATTAAATTTAGCCAAAGAAGAACTAAGACAATAAATAAATGGACAAATCATCCAACTAAACACTTTCCAAATGGAGAAGCACAAATGGCAAATTTGGGGGGGTAGAATTCAATATTCAATCATCAGGAAGATAAAAATCAAAAGTGTATTGGGATTTCCATCTCACCCTGAGTCAGATGCTTCTCATCAAGAAAGTAACAAAGTTGGTAGATACAGGGAAAAGAAACTGTGTTGTGCATGGCTTATGGGAATATGCCTTAGTCTAGCCACTATACAGAGTAGAAGTTCCTCAAAATACTAAAAACAAAACTATTAGCTGTATTAGCTGTATAAGCCCTTTGTACATAATTGAAGAATTGAAAGCAGCATATAACAGAACTATGCACACTCGTGTTTATTGAGGCTCTTAATTGTAACAGCTAAGCAATGGAATCAGCTTATGTGGTATGTGTGTGTGTGTGTGTGTGTGTGTGTGTGTGTGTGTACCTTTATAGCTATATGTCTACTTATACCTATATATCTTTATATCTATCTATAATAATAAAGGAGCGAATGCTGTTTACAGGAAGTAGATGGAAACAAAGATCAACATGTTAAACGAAATAAATTTAATACCGAAACACAAAAATTTCACTTTTTTCTCATATTCAGGAACTAGAATTAAAGATACACCAGATAGTATGTGTATTTGAGAGGGTAAAGAGGATTGCCAGGAATTTGATGCTAGCCTGGACTATGCACTGATCTGATCCTAAATCAAAACAAAACAAATATCAATCTGAATAGAGTAAACTGACTATCTGTGACTCAAGGGGCAAGAAGTAAGAGAAAAAAGTGGCTATGACCAAATCAAGACATGTGCATATGTGGAAAAGTCACAATGAAGCTTAATAATATGTGCAATCAACATATGTTGATCAAAATGTAAACAATAATGCTTGGTACATGTAGGGTGAACCCACTAACGTTAAAAGGGATTTTACTTAAGCAAAGTCTTTCCTGATTTTTCCTCTACCCTAACCCTAACCCTAACCCCCTAACTTACTATAATACAAAGTTTCCAGCATCCTTTTGACAAACCTCTTGCAATATATGTCTACGGTGTTTCACTTGATAACTATATTTCTCTCCCACAAGAGGTGGGGCCCTCTCTCCCTTAATCACCACCACTTATGCTCATTGGGGTATTTACAAGCTTGTCTACAGTGGGTGCTCAATAAATTATTTGTGGCATTAGTGGATGACCAAGCCATGGGACAATAAATTCAGTCTTGTCCTATAGAACAGAGACAATCGAGAGTTGAACTGGACACCACAAATTCCCAGAAGTCCTCCTGAGCAAGGCTCTCTGAAGAACAACCAAGAGTGGGGAAAGCCAGGACATTACCTGTGCTGAGTGAGCACGTTGACTGCTGAAGGATGATTTGCACAGTAAGCCAGGTACATCGATTTAAAATGAGGCATGAGGTTCAGTAGACAGCCTCCTACTTTGTGCTGGTTTTCTGGAAACCTGTAAGGAAATCATGTCAAGTACAGAATACAAACTGGGAAGTAGAAGGTAAAGATACTTGCAATTGAGCCTAGAAGCAGGTAAATATTTTGATGTATCGCCACAGGGGCTATGTATTTGTTTATTTTTAGGCATACTGGAAGCACTTTATCCCTAGAATATGCAGGTTTTGATCACAGATTAAAATTCTAGCCACCTGACTGGAGAGATGGCCCCTCGAGAGGTCTCAGGTTCAATTCCCAGCACCCACATGGTGTCTTACAGCCATCTTTAAATCGTGCATGTGGTGCACAGACATATGCAGGCAAACCACCAATACACATTAAATAAATAAAATTTAAAATTAATCTAATGTACAGGATAAGATTCTCACTTGGAATTAGTAGATAGGACTCTTTGTTTCGAGGACGGTTATATTCAAATTTCTCTGGACATACTATGAATATTCAAATTCACACCAAGTTCAAACACAGACAGAACTGAATTGAACAATGTAACACCCCTTGGACAAATTTCATCTCCATGAAGTTCAGAAAACAAGTAATCCCCCAATTTCCATAGACTGATGAAATCCATCAGTTTTTCCAAGATATACTGGAAAATCAATTTTATACCAGAAATATGCTTGTCAGAAGATCATTACAGTGAAATTTGTAATATAATGTTTACTAATTCAGCAATCAAATAGCCACCAAAACTATGCTGTTGGGGTTGGAGAGATTGTTCAGTGGTGAAGACCACTGGTTTCTATTCCAGAGGACCTGAGCTCAGTTCTCAGCATCCCCCCATACTGGTGGCTCATGACTGTCTGTAGTCTCAGGGGATCTAGCGCCCTCTCTGATTTTTGAGAGTACTTCATGCACGTGGTGCACACACATACATAGATTGCAGGAAAAGCACCCATATACATAAAATAAAATCTTTTTAAAAATCATGTTGTGGTTCACACAAGACATATTATACCCTTCCTTTTCCAATTTTGTATGTGTTTCAAGTCAACCTACAACAGATACGATACCAGGAGTTCTATGAAGAAACAGATTGGACATGGTGGTAAGTATTACAATGTCAGAGGCAGAGGTGGAAAGACCCTAACTTCCAGACCCACCTTGGTTACATAGCGAACTTTGGCCCCTGCTGGGACTGAAGACATGGGGTTGGGGTGGGCAAAGTAGGGGGTCAAGGGTGTAGTTCAGGAGTAGAGTGCCTGCTTGGAACACACAAGGCCTCAATCCAAGCAGCCAGAAAGGGAGATATGAAATGAAAGATTTAAATGACTTTTCCAAGTAATCTTCAACACATAAAATAAAAATGTGTTACCAGCATCAAAGCTGCTATCATTGGCACTGCAGAGATGGCTCAGTGATTGAGTATACTTGCAGCTTTTGTAGAGGACCAGAGGTCAGTTGCCAGCACACATGGTGGCACATAACCATCCCTAACTCCAGCTCCAGGGGATCCAACACCCTCTTCTGACCTGGTACACATACATACATGAAGGCAAACCCTCATACAAACAAAGTAAATGGTGCAATTTAAAATTAAATCCAGAAACAGTTTACTAGATGTGAAGTCTTCGCACACATCTGGTGCTTTGACAGTAAACATGACCGCTGTCCTTGTATGGTGGTTGATCTTGATGTTTTTACTTTGTTCTAGGACAATGGGTTGATATTGCAGCAAATACATAAACATCAAGTGCCCTTGTGCCCAACTTAAGCTTATAATCCCCATACTTAGGAGGTGAAGGTGGGAGCAGCAGAAGTTGTTCAAGGTCAGCTTCTACCACATAGGGAGTTCAAAGCCAGTCTGGTCTATGTGACACACTGTCTCAAAACCCGATTAATTTTTAAGTGTAGAAGGAAAGAGCAAAGTCACTGTCTTACTTACTTTGAACATTCTTCCAAGGCTTGGCAGAGCGTCTGTTGGAAGGCGCATACTTCTTCAAAGTTTCCCAATAAACAAGTAAACTCCACAGTACTAAGGCTGAATTTAAAAAAGGACATGATGTTCCAGTTAATAGAATGGAAAGATGTGTCAGCTATCTCGTTGGAGCCCAGTGGGCCGATAGCTTGCGGATAGCTGGCAAGTATGAAAGTCAAAATGCTTGTGTTTTGTCTTCTGCTTTTTTAACTTATGACAGCTCTATGGCACCCTCGTTTAGTTTCCTTCCTCGCTTCATCTTTTCGAAGATAACAATAATGATCATATAGAAAGCTGGTGGTCATCAGAGGCATTTAGGTATGTTGTTAAGCCACGAGGAAAACAGCATGTGCTTAAAATATTAAAGCACAAACATAGCAGTACAATATGATTGGGAGTAAGTTAAAAATCTGTGGTAAATCTCTTCTAGAGAGAGAAAATAAGAGAGTGACTAAAACATTATGTTAAATAATCACAGAGAGGAGAAGGTACCAAAATTCGCTTTCTCTAAAATGAGAATACGCAAATAACAACTAAAACCATTTTTTGTGAAAGGGAATAGAGGGGAGAAAATAAAACTGGATCTTGTTATTGTTATCTGTCGGATGAAACAGAGTCAAACAGAGGCAAACTGAATGCTTTTGTGCAGGGCATCTACATGAGGAACATTCCCATGCATTGTGCCCTTCCCAAACAGTAAATGATGCTAAGAACGGGAGCCAAACCTCACAAGGCATGCAACAGTCAAGCAAGTGCTTTCCAAACGGGAGCTTCAGTTGCTCTGTGAGCTAAGCACCATGGCCATTTTCTGGCCAAGTGTCATTGTACAGGCAAGGAGACAGGCATAGCGAAGGTGGCGAGCAATCCACCGAACATCAAAGAGCAATGGATAGCGAAGAAAGGGTTATATCAAACATTCTACCTCTAGAAAACACACTCCCAAAAGCATTTGTCTGAAGATTCACTTAAGAGGTGGATGTACTAGCATTCTCTCTCCTATAGAATATATAATCCTGGGAACTCCTTGCAGAGAGGGCTCAGAGGCTAAGAGCACTTGATGCTCTTACACAGGATCCAAGTTCAGTTCCCAGCACCCACATTGAAGTTGCTCACAACTGCCTGTAATTCCAGCTCCAGGGATCTAATGCCCCCTTCTGGCTTCCTGCAGAACCTGTGCACACATGGCATATGCACACACAGACACACACATAATTAAAAATAAAAAATTAAGCTTTTAAAGAAATGAATTATCAGTCCTAAACGCATGTACATGTGAGGAACACTGAGTGGGTTCAGAGAGACAGGGAGGCATTGGAAGTGGTATAGGAAGGAGTGGAAATGGTGAAAATACAGCACTCACATAAGAAACCCTTGGTGTGGGGGGTCCTTCTGTCTGTGTGTTAGTTTTATTGGTTAATGAATAATGAAACTGCCTTGACCTGTTGATAGGGCAGAACTTAGGTGGGGGCAGGGGAAACTGGATTGAATGCTGGGAGAAGGAAGGCGGAGAGAGAGAGACACCATGGATCCGCCATTGGAGATAGACGTGCCGAAACTTTGCTGGTAGGTCATGACCTCGTGGTGATATAGAGATTAGTTGAAATGGGTTAAATTAAGATGTAAGAGTTAGCCAATAAGAAGCTAGAGCTAATGGGTCAAGCAGTGATTTAATTAATACAATTTCTGTGTACTTATTTCGGTTCTGGGTGGCCAGGATGAACAAGCAGTTCCTAGCAACAAACCCTCATGAATATAAAAATTAAATTAAAAAATATATACAATCCTAAAAAGATGTGGTAAGGCCCACCTGAAATCCCAGCACTTGAGAGGTAGATTAAAGAGGGTCATGTGTTCACCCTGAAGCTAGCCCTAAGCTACATGAGAGATACAGTCTCTAAACAAATTTTAGAAGCATAGACATATTGTAGCCTATTCCTAGGGAAGTATTTGCAAAGAAGTTTTGCTGACTAATCAAAAGGGAAGATCCCAGCAAACATTCCCAGTAACCCTCATAAGGGACAAGTTCCCAGTCCCTGGGCTGGTATGCCCTTTTGAACTGTGAACTGGAAACCCCCACCCACTGTTGTCTGAAGAGACTTTGGCAGCCAATAAGTTTCTCTGGCTACTTCTCCGTTACAGTCCCGGCAAGCAGGGCCCCTGAACTTTCTGCAACCTGCCCGAGAATATATCTAGCCTCTTAGCCATCAGACAGTAAACAGTCTGGCTTGCTCACATCCTTGTGGGGTGAGAAGACAGTCGGAACTGATGGAAACACTCTGACTCCAGCGTGCACATCAAGCTGAGGGTGAGGGCAAAGCTGACCCTGTCTCACCCCTTCTCTCCTTGGTTCAGGGTTGCCAGTTTGTTTCTTCGGCATTTGGAATCTGACCACCCCATCCCCCACCCCCGTTCAGGATGACTTCTCTGATGGCCCCCTCTTCTGCGGTTCAAGCAAGAAAACAGAAGGCACATTTCAGAGAGTGCGTGGCTGGAGACATGGTAGAGCCAGTCTGATCAATTGTTGGCTGTGTGACAGGCAAAGCAGTGAGCCTGTCCAGACTTCAGTTTCTTATCTACTCAGTGGAGACGGTCCATTCTCCCAGGAAACTAGAAAGAGCAGTGAGCTGTGTTCCTATATCACTCTATAAACTCTGATTCACATAGCACTTCACATTTCACATAATAAAAACCAAACACGGGAATATAAAACGCTTCCATATGAAGAACTCTTCCCACGGCGCCATGAGAACAGTCACATCAAAATTCAGCATGACATTTTGCTTAAACAACATAATTTGGGAAAGGAAAAAAAAGGAGAAAATAGTGAACTATATTAAAGTCATTTAAGTCTGGCATTGTTAGTTCAGACAAATGGCCACAAATTCAACTTTTCCTGAGGTACAAGGGGAGCATTTTGTCTTCCACTGTGTGAGCCAGTGTTTCTACTTTACTTACAGATGACGATCACTAGCGAAATTTCAACAGCTAAAGTAGCAAAGAGGGACAGTCATTATTAGTTAAATCCATCAGCCCTACAAGCATAAACAATAAATGGTCAAATTGATGGTGTCTTTGGTTACGGAGTATTAACATATATTTTGCTTTCATGAAAACTACGTCTTCAGCTCATACTTTCGAAAGCCATTTCCGGTTTAGTAAGTTTTGCACACTTTGCTTTCAGAATGCTTTCCACCTCATTATCATTCCCATGCGCCTGAATGAAATACTGGCTGGAATTGTGCTCTCCTAAACATTTGCAAAATGCCACACTCTTTCCACCTTGGGAGCATGGGAAATAGGTCTGGCTTGGCAACTGAGAGTCAGAGCTAGCATGAGAATTTCCAATTTATGTGATTTCCAAATAAAAGTACCAAGGAATCCATTTTCTATATGGTACGACCGGACCCATCCCTTTAAAATGCACAGGAAGTGCGGAAACTGAAAGACAGATCCTGTGCACATGCACGTTGGTTCATGTTGCAGCACTAGTGAGCAGATCCGTTGTTTAATATTGCAGCCCTGCTCATGATAGCTGAGCAACAGGACCAACCCAGGTGTCTAGTGCCCGAGGGATGCACAGGGGAAACGTGCTATGTATGTACAAGAAAGGGTTTAGTTATAAAGAAGAATGAAGTTATGTCATTTGCAAAAAAATGAATGTAATTGGAAAAAATCATATTAAACAAACTAAGCCAGTCTTAGGTAAATATCAGGTGTTGCCTCTTATTTATTTTATATAGATACATTGTGTGTGTGTGTGTGTGTGTGTGTGTGTGTGTATGTGTGTAGGGGAACAAAGAAGACTAATAAGAAGGAGTAGGACAAGAAACAGGAGGGCAAGGAGGCGAGGACTATGCTTAGTATATAAAATATGCACTTGCATGGAAATTCTTTAACTAAAAATATTTTTAAAGCAAATCTTACAGAAACAGAGAGTAGAAGAGTAGTTACCAAAATTTGAGATGATTAAGGAGGATTGTGAAATACAGAAAGGACAGTTAAGGGGTATAGGGTACAGCTGGATGAGGTATAACCTCTGAATGTTCTACAGCGCAGTAGGGTTTCTAGGGATGCCAAAAAGTAATTGCATATTTCGCAGTAGCTGCTGGATCTGCCAATTACGCTGACCAGATATTATACATTGTAGAGGTGTACAGAAATATCACACTCCATCCTATAAGGATGTATAATTATTTAGTGCCAAGTGTTGAAGTTTAAAAAATATTAAGCGAAAAAGAGACAAAAATACCCAGTACAGAAATTATCATAGGCAGAATCTCAGAGAAGTTCATTCCTTCCACAGAAAACAAGCCAAGCTCTCCAAAAGCTATGTTTTGCATAACTGCCATTGCCCTGACCATGTTCTTGGCAGCCTCTGATCTGTGGGGATTCTTTTAAAGGGCAAAATCAATTATTCAGTGGCCTAGGAATAATGCCTCCAAGTGCTGACATTATCTTGCTCTGTTTTACTAAGGGTTTAAAGAGTCTTACTTGTTATTAGACTGCAAGGGTCTTAAGTAAGTAACCAGAAGCGACTGAAGTTCTTTGGCATATTCTTTTTCAGTATCCAAGATGTTCTGTAACACCTGTAGAGACACAAGAATAAGGTCTCATAACAGTCAAGCAAGTCCAAGGTCAGAGATTTAGATTTTCTAATCAAACTCCTAGAGAAAAAGCATCTCAGTTTACTTAGGCTGGTGCTAAATGTCCCAATATGAAAAACAAATGTATTTTAGTTCACACCAGAAAAATATTTTAATAAATATCTGGCAACCAGTTATATGACATAACTTATATGAACACAATTATTGAAAATTATTCACAACTAGAGGAGCCTTATCACTTGCATGGTACTGCTTTAAATAATTTTATTGAAGAAAAGGGGTAGGTTAACTAATAAAGGTTCACTATTCCCATTATATGAATAATAAAATTACAAAACATTCAAGACTAAGAGAATCCAAGGATAATTATGACGTAAACCATCAAGGATTTGATTTGTGTACTGTTTCTGATAAGATGTTTATGGAACAAAATAATATATAGTACATTCTTAAGCAGGGTTAAAACTGGCCTTTCAGTAAAAACAAAGGGTGCTCATATGAACAATTAAAATAGAAAAGGAGACAGTACTGTGAAGAATTTAATGAGAACAATTCAGTCATTATCTGTTATTAATAACACAAAATTCTTTTTTGTTCTTGGTTTGAGACAAAGTTTCACTCTAGTCCACAATGTCTTGGAACTCACTAAGGAGCCCAAAGTGACCTCAAATTCACCATAATCAACACGCTTCAGCTTCTGCAGTGCTGAAAGTACATCGTCAGTGAAACCCACCACACTGAGCTAATCATAAAGTCTATAGAACCGACCAGTGTATGATATACAAGTTCTCTTTTCCCACCGGTTGCAAGGCCATCTCCCATTTCCCAGCCTGTTCTGGAAGCAGATAAAACCTCATTCCAGCCGGGCGGTGGTGGCGCACGCCTTTAATCCCAGCACTTGGGAGGCAGAGGCAGGCGGATCTCTGTGAGTTCGAGACCAGCCTGGTCTACAAGAGCTAGTTCCAGGACAGGATTCAAAGCCACAGAGAAACCCTGTCTCGAAAAAAAAAACTCATTTTAACCAATTATATATGACCAAGGTAATATTTTGCTATGAGTTTTTCACATCTTCTAATTCATTGGAAAATCTTTCCTATACCAATGGCTTTGCTGCTTACAGATAGGGAACTTCCACCATATCTGAAGATGGAGACATTAAATGGGGAGCTACAATACAGAGAGAAACCTGTGGCTTGGAGAAGCCCAGTCATCTACCAAAATGGACACTGGACATTTTGGACACTGCGTGTCTGTGGCTTCCACATTGACTGCATTCTATAGGACTTCAGCTTCCATGGGAGTCAGCTAATTTTGGATTGAAAATAGTTTTAAACTGTCACCTGAACTGAATATATATGGATTTCCCCCTGCCATTATTCTTTAATGTCTATACTACAACACAAGGCTCTAATCCCAGCTACCCTTTGGCCTGATGCAAGTTTGAGGCCAGTCAGAGCAACTTAGTCAGATCAACTGTCAAGATAGAAGGGGACAACGAAAACTGAAGGTGTAACTCAGCCGTAGAGCACTGGCCCTGTTATATGTGGGGTCTTAGGTTCAGTTTCCAGAATCCCTAGTCATATTTAATGATATAAAAATTATTCGCATGCCACACATACACAGGCAGGCAGCATAGGCAGAGATTATCTCAAGGGTAGGAGAGGATGCAGAAAGGCCATGGACAAATGCTGGACCATTTTATATCAAAGACCCGAATATCTGTATCCGAGGAGGTCCTGGCAACAGTCCTCGAGGATACCACGGAGTGACAGTACTCACAAGACAAATCATGATGAAAAGTGGAGTAGCAGAAGACAGCAGGGGTCCAAGGAGCCACTGGCTTTCTGGTGAACTGGGAGATGGCAGTCCCAACTGTGCTACTGGCTTCCAGGCTGCCTCAGTTTTAAGGCATAGCCTACCTCATCTCAGATTGTGACATTACAGGGACCACTGTGAAGCGGCGGTGAGATGTTACACAAGTAGGTACTGGGCAAGCGGCAAACGCTCTGGCCAATTTAAGAGGCTAAACGCATCGCTCCCAACCATAATCCTATTGGACTTTCAGACCAGAAGGCTCTGTGGGGAGAGGAAAGTCCTATGTCTTGTGGGAAATTAAGCAGCACCCCTGACCTCTACCCATTAGATGCCAGCTGTACTCCATCCCATGCTTCAGTTATGACCATCAAAAACGTGCTCAGGAGGGCAATGCCACCTTAGTTGGGAATTAGTGAGTTAGAAGGCCACACTATGGTTTCCAAAGCTAAGAGTTTGCTAAGCATAAAGGTGCATGCCTGTTATCCCAACACTTGGGAAACAGGAGGCAGAAAAATGGTCTGAGGCCAGCTTGTGTACTCAGTGTGTTTAAGGCTAGCCTGGGCAAGAAGACTCTGTGCCCCAAGAAGGAGAGCAGTAAAGGGTTAAACTACAGGCCCTGCCGACAGCCACTTTTGTCTGCTTTCAGTTTCCCTATTGCTCAGAATCTATTCTTTCCAAAAGTAAATTCGGAGGTCTAGAAGAAGTGCTGCTCTCTGAAATTAGCCCAGTGATGGAACAGAGCTGCTGCTGCCTATTTAAAAAATCTAGTTACAATAAAGGTCACTTGCTAGAAACTGCTTTGAGAAGAATGGAGAAAGCAAGTTCAGCCTACAAAGTCTGGATCTGGAGCTCGGTCGTCGTCAGAGTCCTAGCAGACACAGCGCCCTGGGCTGCAGCTCCGGCACCATACAAACTGGGTGTGGTGGTTCACACTGATAATCCCAGTACTCTCAGGAAGCAGAGGCAGGAGGATCATCCTCATCTGTACAGGAAGTCCGAGGCCCACGTGGAATACGTGAGACCTTCTATTTAAAAAAATATGAAAACGTATTGGTTTTAATTAAAGTGATGCTTCAAGAAACTAATTATAGATGCAAATGCCTATATTTAAAAAAGGCACTTCATCTTTAAAACGTCTGTGCTTACTGGGTTAATTGGACGTAATGGGTTAAAAAAAAGAAGGCAAAGTTTGGAGGGAGGCGTGGTAGTGGTGAATGTAGTCAAAATTTGTTGTATGCATGAAGGAAATTTTAAAAGAATAAATATATTTTTTTAAAGGAGGGGTGATTTCTAATTTTTCATCTAGCATTCAAGGGGCTGGGAGGTCCTTACTCCCTTCTAAAATAGTTAGTGGGATAAAATGGTAAATCTGTGAGGAATGAGATTATAGAAAACAACTATTCCACAAGAGTGGATAGACAATCAGATCCTGAGAAGTACAAGCTACAGGAGCAAAGACTCACAGGAAGCAAGACTAGAGTAGCAAAACTTAGCTGTAACTGACAAACTATTGGGCACTTACAATGGAGGAATGAAAGTTGACCACTCAAGGGGCTCAGTGCCAGGAAAACACATTTATACTTTTGTGAATTTTGTCCCAGTAAAAATAGAGGAAATACCCTTATTTTTCAGGCAGGAGGAAAGGAAAGCAGCCATTATGATAACAGCATATTCTGGTAGCTAGACAACAGAGGGACATTTTAGTTCCTAACAATGTCAGCCCTCGGGAGAAACTATTTTACCAGATCATAATCTAACTGACGTGAGAATCTAAGTGACACGGAAAAGAGAACATCTAAATTCCAGCCAGCTGTCAATAGTCATGGAGAAGAAGAGAAATGACCAACCCCAGGCCCCGCTAGCCATCCTGTCTCATCTAAGAATGGACACTGAGAAGCATTAATGAAGAGCAGAGGCCAGGAGCTCAGGCTCACCCAAAGACTAGAACACCATCATGGGAGAATAGAATGCACCCCTCTCCACAGATCTCCACCACATTACTCAACACCTGCTCTCTAGTCTCTCTTCCCCAGCGCATCACATCAGGCTTCCGGTTGAAAATGGCAAAGTCTCTTATTGAAAGGAATAAGCTAGCAACAAACTACAGAAATGATAGATCCTCCTGGAAATTGGAAGCAGACAAGATCACCAGGCAAAAGTTGGGAGCATGGGGTGGGGTGGGAGAAGGATAGAGGGGGAGAGAGAAGGGAGAAGGGGAGGGTTGGGGAGAACTTGGGGGAGTGGGATGGTTGAGATGGAGGAAGGACAGATACAGGAGCAGGGAAGAAAATATCTTAATTAAGGGAGCCATTTTGGGGTTGGCAAGAGGCTGGACTCTAGAGGGGGTCCCAGATGTCCACAGGGATGTCCCCAGCTAGACCGCTGGGCAGTGGAGGAGAGGGAACCTGAACTGGCCTTGTCCCGTAGTCAGACTGATGATTATCACGAATATTACCTTAGAACCTTCATCGGGCAACAGGTGGAGATAGAGACAGAGACCCACATTGTAGCACTGGACTGAGCTCCCAAGGTCCAGTTGAAGAGCAGAAGGAGGGAAAATATGAGCAAGGAAGTCAGGACCACGAGGAGTTGGTCCACCCACTGAGACGGTGGGACTGATCTAATGGGAGCTCACCAAGGCCAGCTGGACTGGGACTGAATGAGCATGGGATAAAACTGGACTCTGAATGTGACTGACAATTGGGGCAGACTGAGAAGTCAATGATAATGGCACTGGGATTTGTCTCTATGGCATGTTCTGGCTTTTTGGGATCCTAGTCTCTTTGGATGCACACCTTCCTAAGCCTGGATGGAGGGGGGAGGGCCTTGGACTTCCCACATAGCAGGGTACCTTGCCCTCTCTTAGGACTGGAGGGGGAGGGGGAAGATTAGTGGGGGAGCGGGAGGGAAGTGGAGGGGGGAGGAAGTGGAAATTTTGATTCCTAGTATTAATAAAGTAATAATAAAAACAAATAAAAATAAAAAATAAAAAATAAAGAGGAAGGAATAAGCCATAGGAGCTAGGGGTGTAGCGAAACTGTTATTCAAAAGTAAAGCAGACACAAAGACTTTTCTCAGACACTGCAACAATACCCTGAAGAAAATTATCAGCTTTGGGGCCTGATTTTCAAGAGATGGTCCTAGAAATTCTTCAGCCTCTGTATCTT